ACGTGATAAGGCGTTATATCAAATTCAAATGCAAGGATTATTATCACTCACTGAAAGGTATTTTACATCCAAAATTAACCCTCTGTCTAGTTGGCTGTCAATTTCTCGAAACCTAAAAAGAATTATTCACTGCGGACTCAATCATACCGTAATTTACAATCAACATTAACATTGGTATAACTCACCAAAGTAACGTTTTTACTCGGGTTCAGCAAAGAACACCTTTATATTTTGGGTTTCAGGAGTCTGAGTGATGGTGACAAAAATAATTTTGGTAGTTTTGCCACTTGTGGCTCCTGAAAACCGAGTTTACTGCTCAACTTGTAACAAAGTGTTTGCATTCTGAAATGTTTCAGTTGCAATCAGGATATCTCAGAGAAGAATCGAGATCAGAGCTCAATGGTAACCCGTGATGATCTTTACAGGGGGAACAACAGGAACTTGTGTGAGTGACACACATCAGTTCCTGATTCGTGGTACTGTCGTACAATATTTGGCCTTTGAAACAGCGGATTAATGCACCTTCAATCCGGATTTTACAACATTTCCGATCTGATTAGAATTTGAGATATCATCACCCCGGCACCAACGCTGCCATTTCAACATCGAGTGCGTGGGTTGTTTTCTTATCAGTTGCACTAGAAACGACAGTACAGCACTGTGTTTTTTTTAACCTACAGTATTGCATTGATTAATTTCTTAGCTAAGCTACGGGAGGACAGGGATAATGGAGGGAGAGGAAGGTCACTGCATTGTAATATAGTTTCAGAACAATTTCAAATCAAGCTGTTTTTTTGGATCACCTATTATCAATTGCGCACTGTTAGCTGACCTCCAGTTGCACGACTGGAAATAAAACGTTCTTTAACACCCAAAAAAACACTCAGTCCGCAAACATCCCTTCAAAAGATAAAATAAAAATAATAATAATAAATTTGGTCCGTCAATCCACGATTGTTTGTGGGACACTGCTGTGCGCAATTGACTGCCGCGTTTCGTTCACAAAATATACGGTGAATTCACTTATCAAATGCAAGGATTATTATGAACAATTAGCCCAGTGCTACCCACCCACCTAAACGCCCTGCAATACTTTGCGTATCACTTGTAATCCAACCATCAGATTCCTTGCGTATCTGCAGCATCCTTATCCCAAATGCAAAGGACTCCCTCTCTCGCTTCGGTCGGGCTTCCCCCTTTCCGCCCCCTTTCTCCTCCTCTTCCTCGATGACTTCCAAACTCTTTCTTTTTTTTGGAGGCGGGGTAAAAAAAAACCAAAAAAATTCGAAAAATTCCATTTTCAATATATTTAAAATTGAATTGATTTCCAAATCTAAATTTCGCGTACATTTAATGCCTTTGCGATGTTAACGTTGCGCGCGCATTAAACGTATGGTGATTTTTTAAATCTTATGCAGAGTATTTAATAAATTGAATGCTATTGTGGTTATTATTCACACACACACACCCCTAACCCCCCCCCCCCCCCCACCCCTTACATCAATGAAACCATTGAGAGAGAGAGAGATTTAATGATGTCAGCTCTGTAGTGCAGCCAATGCCTGTCAATCAAACCGAGCAAAGCTTGGTTGAGCGGTGACAGCCTTCTAGCCCCGCCCCCCCGACGAGCCTGACTAACTTGATGGTCTTAAAAAAAACGCCCCTCTTCTTGTGATGTCACAGCTCCCCGCCCACCACACACGACGTCAGAGCTCCCACTCCCCCCCACCCCACCCCTCCCCCCCACACACCCACCCCTCCCCCCACACACACCTCCCCCCACACACACCCCACCCCTCCCCCACACACACCCCACCCCTCCCCCCACACCACCCCTCCCCCACCCACACACCCACCCCCCCACACACCCCACCCCCCCACACACCACCCCTCCCCCCACACACACCCCACCCTCCCCCACACACACCCCACCCTCCCCCCACACACACCCTCCCCCCCACACACACCCCACCCCTCCCCCACACACCCCCACCCTCCCCCCCCCACACCCACCCTCCCCCCACACACACCCCACCCCCCCCCACACCCCACCCCTCCCCACACCCCACCCTCCCCCCACACACACCCCACCCTCCCCCACACACACCCCACCCCTCCCCCCCACACACACCCACCCCTCCCCCACACACACACCCACCCCTCCCCACACACACCCACCCCTCCCCACACACACCCCACCCCTCCCCCACACACCCCACCCTCCCCCCCACACACCCACCCTCCCCCCCACACATACCCCACCCCTCCCCCCCACACACCCCACCCCTCCCCCACACACCCCCCCCCCCCCCACACACCCCAGCTCCTCCACCCCCCCCACTCATTAACATACACCATCCCATCCCACCTACACCACCTCCTCTCCTCTGATTCTATTGGGGCATGGATGAGGGCGGGGTGGGGGGGGGGGAGTGGTTGAGGAGGGGGAGAGTTGCAGGGGGAGGGGTTTGAGATGAGGGGAGAGTTGCAGGGGGAGGGATTTGAGATGAGGGGTGCGGTTGAGAGGGGAGGGGTTGACAGTGAAAGCGGTTTCAAGGCGTGGTTGGGTGGTCGCGGGGGCGGGGTTGGGGTGGTGGGGGGCGGGGTTGGGGTGGTGGGGGGCGGGGGTTGGGGTGTGGGGGGGTTGGGGTAGTGGGGGGCGGGGGTTGGTGTGGTGGGGGGGGGCGGGGTTGGATGGCCCCGGCCTGGGTTAAGGAGGGCGCGGGGTTAATGCGGTGGGGGGTGGGGTTGGTGTGGAGGGGCCGGGGTTGGCTGGTCGCGGGCTGGGTGCTGGGTTGAGGGGGGGGGGCAGGGTCGGTGTGGAGGGGGCGGGGTTTGATTTCAAGATCCTCATCCTCACCTACAAGGCCATTCCCGGCCTCGCTCCCTCCTACCTCTCCGACCTACTATCCCCCTACCTACCTGCCCGTACCCTCCGTTCCTCTGGCTCCGGTCTGCTCCACGTCCCCCGCCCCAACCGCCCTACCATCGGTGGTCGGGCCTTCAGCCTCTCAGCCCCCAGGCTCTGGAACTCCATCCCCAGTGCCTTCGCCGCTTCCTCCCTTTCCTCCTTCAAGGCCGGTCTCAAGACCTTTCTCTTTGACCTTCAGCCTTCAGCTCTCCTCTCGACTCTCTACCCCCTCCTCACTCCCTCCCTTCCCTCCCCTCACCCTGACCATTTCCCCCCTCCTCGCTCCCTCCCTCCCCTCCCCTGACCATTTCCCCCTCCTCGCTCCCTCCCTTCCCTCCCCTCACCCTGACCATTTCCCCCTCCTCGCTCCCTCCCTTCCCTCCCCTCACCCTGACCATTTCCCCCCTCCTCGCTCCCCCCCCCTCCCCTCACCCTGACCATTTCCCCCCTCCTCGCTCCCCCCTTCCCTCCCCTCACCCTGACCATTTCCCCCTCCTCGCTCCCTCCCTTCCCCCCTCACCCTGACCATTTCCCCGCTGCTCAGGTCCTGACCCAACTGTGCAGCGCCTTGGGACGTCCTCCTGACGTGAAAGGCGCTTTATAAATGGAATCTTGTTGTTGTTGTTGTTGTTGCTGGTCGCGGGCTGGGTGCTGGGTTGAGGGGGGGGGCAGGGTTGGTGCGGAGGAGCGGGGTTGGCTGGCCGCGGGCTGGGTGCTGGGTTGAGGAGGGTGGCAGTGGGGTTGGTGTGGAGGGGGCGGGGTTGGCCGGCGGTGGTGGTGAAGGAGGAGGGTGGGGGCGGGGCTGGTGTGGAGGGGGCGGGGCTGACCGGCGGTGGTGGTGAAGGAGGAGGAGGGTGGGGGCGGGGCTGGGGGCTGGTGAGGAGGGGGCGGGGTTGGCCGGCGGTGGTGGTGAAGGAGGAGGAGGGTGGGGGCGGGGCTGGCGAGGAGGGGGCGGGGTTGGCCGGCGGTGGTGGTGAAGGAGGAGGAGGGTGGGGGCGGGGCTAGTGTGGAGGGGGCGGGGTTGGCCGGCGGTGGTGGTGAAGGAGGAGGAGGGTGGGGGCGGGGCTGGCGAGGAGGGGGCGGGGTTGGCCGGCGGTGGTGGTGAAGGAGGAGGGTGGGGGCGGGGCTGGCGAGGAGGGGGCGGGGTTGGCCGGCGGTGGTGGTGAAGGAGGAGGAGGGTGGGGGCGGGAGGAGAGGAAACAAAAACATCGCGTCGCCATTTTGGACCTCGGCCTAGTTGATTAATTTGAATTGCGGGAGACTCGGGGAGTAACACGGTTCCCGTTTAAGGAATCGAGGATTTGCTCGCCTACTCTTTATCTATCTATCTATATATATATATCTACACACACATAAGAGAGAGAGAGCTTTGTATTTTTTTTCTCTGCCTTGGTTTGATTTATTTAGCTATATATATTTTTTTGGGGGGTGAGGAAAGGTAAAACATTTTTTTTTCTTTTTACCTCAGATTTTTCTCTCTCTCTCTTGTTGACGGTGCGATAGATTTCCTCCCCTCCCCTCTCTCTCTCCCTCCCTCCCTCCACCTCCTTCCCTTTCTTCCTCTCACGCTGGTTGTATTTTTTTTGGGGGGGGGGAGGAGGAGGTGTCGGAGGTGAGTGTGTGTGGAGATTTGAGAGAGAAAAAAAATCTTTTATTTAGAGAGAGAGAGAGAGAGAAAAAGAAAAGGTTTTAAAAAAATAATATTTTTTTTCGGAAACGACCCGAAGAGAGAGAGAGAGAGAGAGCGAGGAAAGGGGAGAGAGAGAAGGGGAAAAAAGTGGTTGTTTTTGTTTTAAAAAGGAGAGAGAGGGGGAAGGAAAGGGGGTGGTGGGGGGGGGGGGTGAAAAAAAGATGTTTTCGCTCTCGAAACCCCGTGGTTTTTTTTGAATGAAGTTGACGGTCGAAGACGAGAGAAGAGAGGAGAGGAGCGAGCGACAGGGAGAGAGAAAGAGAGAGCGAGAGGGGGAATAGGAGGAGAAGAAAGAGGAGGAGGAGGAGGAGGGAGGGAGGGAGTGTATGAGTGAGTGAGTGTGTGTGGGAGGTGGGCGGGGTGAGGGGTTGGAAAGGAGACTGAGGAAAATGCTGTGAGGTGGACGGTTGCCAGCGAAACTAAAGGAGACGTGGTGGAGTCGTGAAGAAATAAGAAGAAGAAAAGGAAGAAGGAGGAGGAAGAGGAGGAGGAAAAGCATTGGTGAAACGAAGCAACCGACCGGGATTTTTATTTTAATTTTTAATTATTTGTATTCCCCCCCCCCCCCCCCCACCCCCCACCCCCCGATCTATCCATCCCGGAGAAACCCCAGCGTGATTTGCTTCTCTATCGCTTTCCCTCTCGCTCACATCATGGGAGCTGCTACCAAGCTTACGTTGGCTGTTTTCCTCATTTCGTGCTCTTCAGGTAGGTGTTACTTTCTGTTGTTTGCGGTTTATAGAAAATATATATATATATCTGTGTGTGTGTGTGTGTGTATCGAGAGAGAGAGAGTATATGTATAATCTCTACATGTTCTGTGGTTGTGTTTACGTGCGCGCGTTTGTTTGTGTGTAATCTCCCAGATTCTTTCTGATGCCTTTTAAATCTGTTTAAACACACACACACACACACTATATATATATATATATATCACTATATATGTAGATCACTATCACACACACACGTATATATATATATATATATTGTGAAACATTTACAAAAAATGCCCAGTGATTTTCGGTGTGTGTGTGTGTGTTTTTTGGTGTTTTTTTTCTTTTTTTTCCCTAAAAAAATAAGATGTTTGGATAAGTACGTTTCCCAGTCCTTTTGTGGCCAACATGTGGGATCTGCTGCGTGCAGTCAGTGGTGGTGTTGCTCGTGAGTGAGTGTGTGTGTGCGCGCTTCTTGTTTTTTGCTTTTTTTTCCCCATGTTATTTTTTTTACACACACACACACATACACCCAAAAATAAGGCTGCGTGTGTTTTCTGCCTTAAGGTGTCGAGATCCTTTCACTCGAAGGTGACTTGTTCGGTACGAGGCAAACTTAGTAAAATACGTGCACTCGGACACATCTACACACGCCCAAGCCAAGGCTTGGCTGTTGCTTCCAACCAAACAAATAACCGTCCAACCCGATCTGGAAACCATTGGTTCGCTTTTTCGCCAACTTTTTTTTAAATATTAAAAAGATTATCATCGTTTGGGGTTGTTCCTAATGTTCAAACTCACCCCCACCGCCACCACCCCTTTCTCTCCCACGCCCCAGCCCTTCCAAGTCCTCATTGCCCCGTATCTTGTAGATCTGTGGGTGTAGGGAAGGAAAGAGGGGATTTTTTTTGGGGGAGGAGGAGGAGGAGGAGTGGGAATGGAATCGGTGGTTGATTTCTGCGATCAGAATCTTGTACTCGACGTCTTAGGTATTCGTTAACCGTGTGTGCAAACGTGTCCGCTTCTGGTTCTCGAGGTGCTGTCCCTGTCACCCCTCCCCATCCCCATCCTCATCCTCAGGTGAGAGTAACCATTTTATTACAATACCAAAAAAAGAGGGCTTTCCCATCAACAGAGTGTGCAGAACAACTTTGCGCGATGGGTCCGATGGTTTGGTCGATTTATATAAAAAAACCTTGGCCGTTTAATCGAACTCGTAACCATTCCTAGAAATACTTTATCGGCTGTTTAGAAAGCACGATCTTTTTCATAAGCCACATTGCACTCAAGCGGAAATATCTACAGTATTTATTGTTTTCTCCCGCCCCCCCCCCTCCTCCTCCTCCTCTCCCCCCTATTTTAGCGGTTGACAAATGTTCTGCCAAGGAAATATTGTGCTTTTATTTGAGGTGTGAAACAGCCATTGTGTGAGACGAATGAACTGTTGCAAAGCGAACGCCTTTTGAAAACGTCGGGACAGGTTAGATTGTTTACCGGCTGCACAGTCAGATTATATCAACGCCTTCTATGTGAAGTTTGCCTATAATACAGTCGGGCCAATGCACTGACGAGCAGCAATTTTCAGAAGCAACACAAACCTAGTTTAGTATGTGAACATGCTCTTTAATGAGGGAGCTTGCTCGTTCACATTAGTCGAACTAATGGTAGCAAACGCTCAGTTAAACAAAGGCTACACGGATCCCTGCAATGTTTAGAGAGAGATCGATCAATGGAACGATTTATGGAAAGTATATTTTTTGTCGTCTGGCAGCCTGGAGGAAATGTGGTTATATCTGACGACCCAAGTGGGCTGTTGTAAACGACAGTTTGAAAGTACTATTTATTGTAAAAAAATAATACTTAACACATCCGCTGCATATAAATATTTTGGAAGTATTTAACTGGGAACTAATACTATTTGCATTTTTATATACCGGTATACTTTATATAGGTTTCGTGATTGGTTTCACGTTATGCACAGAGCATAATGGAGCATTCCTTGATAAATGTGAAATCAATAAAAATATCGGGCATCTTTAGTAAATTGGCAGTGCAAGCAATTTTGCTGAAAACGTTATTTGGTTAGTACTCATGTTGCAATAAACATTGTCAAATCTAACCCACAATGTTTAGGTATATCACTCTACTTGTAACTATTGGAGATCATTGCTATCTGATACAAGTATTTTTTCACTCTGCATTTCATCTTTAACCTTTTTAATAATTAGCAGCAATTGTATTTGGAATTTAGATCTGTTTACTTTAAAATAAAGTAATGCATGTGAATGGGGTTTGTACACTGATATTTATCTTCATAGTGGGTTACATTGTGCAGTGGGAAAATGGCCAAGGCATTGGTTAAGTGCACCTTTTGCCTTTCGTGAGTTTTGAATAATATTTTAGACTTGAATTTCTGGCCTGAAAGTGTGAACCATGTTTGCACACAAATAAAATTGAAGGATTCCATACAGTTTTCTTACTAAGGATTTAAAAAAAAACTAAATTGGAGGATTTGTGTAACCAGCTTATTAGAAGATTAATTTTTTACATTTACAGGGATTAACCTGATAATTTTACTTTAATCCTGTATATGCCATTGCAGTAGCTCAGATTTAGAATGTGCATTTTAGCTTTCATGTTCTTGCATCTAAGAGCATATATTTTGTAACTGCAAATGTATATTGTTTACCACAAGGCAAATCATAAGTATTTGCTCTAATAAAGTATATAAGATGTTTGCATGTCAATCTTACGGTTGTTGAAGTGCAATGTATTTAATATAGACCTTAAATTGTTTTTTTTTAAAAAGCTTGCAATTAAACTGAAGTATGAACTCATTCATCTGAGTTCAATGTTTTATTTTACTGCCCAAACATTTTGCAAAAACAAAAGGAACGTAAATTGAATGAAGCATGAAAAAACACTGAGAACTATTTATTAGCCCTTGTTCAATTCTGATATCCATTTTATGAATGTGAGATGCATTTAATCAGTAGGTCATCAATTTTTTTGTGGCATTTAATCAGTAGGTCATCACATTTTTAGAATTTTGATTGTATGCCATTTTAGAATCAGAATTGTTTTTATGATGCAATTATTTCAAACTTCCAAACACATAACTGAGTAATTTCACTTATTGAAATAGTTCCTTCCATTGAAAGTATAACTTTATTCCGATGAATGACATCACACATTTGTATAGAAATGCTTCAGATCATAACATTTAGCATGACAAGAGCTGAAATGTTGCTATGAATCTAGCTCTGGCCTACTATAAGGGCTCATGGGCTGAACCTTCTGTGAAATTGATGCAAGTTGTTAGCTATATTTCAAGCTCCAGAATGAGAATTCTCAATGCAATCCGCCTCAAAAGACTTGACTGCTGTATTTTTTTATATTTGTATTGTGTTTAGTTTTTAAATCTTTAATTAGCCACCATAATGAAAGGAGGACTTGGTGTCCCATAATAACTCATTGGTAGAAAATCGAGAATGTACAGGTATGATTGTACCTTTTTAATCATGATTGGGTGATTTAGTGAAAGGGTTTGCATACATATACATGCCAAAATATTTACTATAATATAGGATTCCCTAGTGAATTCGGATATATATTTTTATTTCAAGATAATTGAGCTTCCCCTTTCAAACATTCCCAGTTTAATATCATTACTATTTATCTGCAATATTTCTTTCACTAAAGCAGTATTTAATGAGTTCCATGGCGATATGTAAATGCTCTGGTACTTTTTATGTGTTGCATTGAGCGTCCATATCAAAGTTCCCTGCAGAGTGTCTAGCTTTACATTGCCTATGCTTGGTACAGGTTTATAAACTGTGGGAAACCATTGAGATAATAAAGCTACAGAACTGAAAACATGGACTATATCACTTTTTTATTTCGACATAATCCTATGAAATATCCATGGCATGATGTAGGCTCAGTTTGACTCTTTGAAAAGATCTGATGGAAATATTGTTTGATTACATGTTCTTTTATGGTCAGCTGTTGAATGTTTTGGTTCTACAGTGGACCTCATTAAATGAAAGTTATGACTGGAATTTCATACTTTGCAAAGCACAGTAAATTGGAATAGAGTATTGGCTTGGTAGTGTGGATTAGAATACTACCCTTTCAACTCTGGAACCTTTGTTCGAAGCCATCCATGACTGATGAGAGGAAAAATCTCTCCTTTCTCTGCAGTGGTATGCATTTCAAAATTTCAGTCCTTTACCTTGTGAACTAAAGTGCAAAATGCAGAAGTCCCGTTAAATTTCACCTCAATGGACAATTTTATTGAGTCAGAAAGGTGAGGGGAAGTGGAAATGTTGCACTCGTGTATTATCATCTGAAGTTAAGGTTAAATGCATTGCCTCGCATTCCATCTAAAAACTGATATTGCAATTCTTGGAGGGAGTGGTCTGTGTTCCCTAGCAAATGTTTTTGGTGCTTTTAATTAATTGTTTCGTCTTTAAACTTGTCTTATGTATACTTATTCCTGCTACTTTATATAACTTGCTGTGTCAGTCATTTGAATTGGGCTGGTTGGTTTTGCCCACACAATCTAATGCCATCACTGTAAGTCAGGAATTTATTTTCTTCAATGCATTGGCTCATGAAGGGCTGTAACAGGATTGGATTTGCTGCAGTGACAGGGCACAACCTTCAGTTTTCCACTTAGATTTATTTCACTAACCTACATTAAATATCCTTTTCAATCTTTTACAAATGTTCTTTTAAGAAGGTGGTTTTGGGCCTTTCAAAATCTAGAATAATGAATATCTACGTCTGAAGGAGTTATTAAATATTGACATTAAATATTGAAATATGCAAGCATTCCTTAAATTGTTTCATATGTTTTAAATATATGTTTTTTAATGGTAGTCTCAAATATATATATATACATATATATAATATGTTTGAGACTACCATTAAAACTCTATCCTAGATAGGTACTTGGATATTTTTCAAATTCAGTATAATGCTGATCTAAGT